AAATGAAGCAGTGGTATTAGAGTATTTTGGAAGAATTTGATAGAGAATTAGAGATAACACATGGATATAGAAGGAGAGAAATGTGAATTTAGGTTTCCATTGTAACCTAGAACAAAGTATATGAATGATGTTAGAATACGGAAAAGTCTTTCGACAGGTCAAGTCAAGTCAAAATGTGCTTCTTGCACCTAATTAGATACATTTCCAGCTTTTTAACCAGCACTGCGAATTTCGAACTAGATGAGCTTTAATAGACAAAACAAATAAGTTCCGTAACGCAATGTTTATGTATCACTCAAGCACACTGCGCAGCATGCTGTTGAGTTTTGTTGAGTTCAGGAGTAATTGTGACAAGTATGGTTGGTTAAAATTGTTGTGAGAAGCCGTATGAGAATAAGTGGCTGAAGTTAGAGCGCATGGAATACTACATAGCGCTTTTTCCGGTGGATGAAAGTGTTCTTTTAGAGCTTTGAAGGAAAAGATATTACAACCATCAACATGCACGCTGACAATTAACTCAACCAGTGCTTCTCTAGACGCTTCCCTGCCTCTAGCAATGAGTTTTAATCGGCGTGAGAACTTTATGTAGACTTCCTTTAGCAGCCAAGGGAAAATTACTGGAGAACAGTAAAGCTAATGAAGAAGAATGTATGAAGCCACAAACTTAAGTACGAACTCTCGAGATATGGAAAACATTCTTAGTCTGGGTTATACTAAGATAGGATTCTAAACTTGTGAAATATTTCAGTGACATAGGTAGACCACACTAGGTTTCGCGATTAATAAACAAGATATTTGGCAGTTGACGACTTAGGTGTGCTTTAATACCTCACCTCCGATGTGAAAATGACATTCGAACTAGTATGTAGCGGATCAAGTAGAGGGAAAGAAAATGTTGCTTCACGGCATTTCGAAATGTTTAAAATGAGGAACCGGGTCCATTACCACAGCACAAAGTACTCCAGACCACTCTATTGCGCAGATGTAGCACGGTTTGTAGTTATACATCTTAAGACGACATCAAATGCATATTTGCATCCATTAAATTTGGACAACCTAGAGAGGTCTTCGACATATAAAGCAAACAGAAATGGAAAGTGGATCGTTCCTTGAAGCACAACAACATAGGAGCCAAGCGTAGCGGAATATTGCCGTGAAGTGGTTACGGTATTTAACCTAGTCTGTACTCACGATTCAGACATTTGTATTTGCCCCACTCAGGAGCAGCTGGTTGAGCAGAATTCATCTGTTGACACTCCTAGTAGCATCTGAATAATCGAAAAACAGTAGACACAATGCTCGGCGTCTTTAACCCAATGCAATTGATACGGTTATGGTTCGTCCACTGGCCTTAGGTTCCGTCCACCTCGCCAGTGGATTATTTATGGTATCAGCTTCTTCATATGATTGGCGTCAGTATCCGATGGATCCATTAACCACCCCGCTAGTGTGGTCTCCATGATGGTTAGGCATCTGGAAGTTTATCTATTATGGAAGCTCCTTGATGTGTACATTCCAATGGTTTGAACAATTGGGTTCATATCTAGATTACCTTCGGAACATCACCTAAACAGCTTCATCCCCATGCTAGTGATCAAGATACTTGCGATGCCATGGCCTTATGCGCCTTCCACCACGCCAGTGGATTATTTCTCCTGAAAGACTTTTGATCCGAACAGTTTGGAGTAAATTCTTATTACTTTTGGAACATCTGAAAAGTCAACTTCAACTCCCTGCAAGCGTTTAACGTACTTGCGATTCCATAGCGTTATGCTTCGCCCACTTCGCTAGTTGTTTGCTTCTTCCTGTTAACAAAATCCCTATCTAATTGGCTCCATCCTACAATGGATACTGTACCCCCTCGCCAGTGTGGTGTGCAGAATTTATACCTTCCGAATGTATATTGTCTGCGGTCTTTGCTACTGCCTTTGACTGTACCTGATTCCCAAGACCACAGAAAGCTACTCTAGCGTTCGAAACATTCTCTCCATGCAACCGTCCCATTTAGCGGCGTGGTAACCTCCCGTGGGCCTACCAGCGACACCCAACTTGCCCCTGACTTATTTGCTCGGACAAGGACACTCCTTATTATATTAGTTCCCTACTCACCTAAATAACGCGGCACAGCAAATTACATTGCTTATCTCCGGATAGTAAAGCTGTCCACAACCGTTCCTGATGAATCCTGACTAAGCTTTCCGCTTAGCCAACGGAAACTCGGTTGTACCATGACTGCGATTAGCTGTTCGGAAAATCCGTCCTACAAAAGCGTTACAGGTATAACATGTTATATATAAAGGGGTTAACGGCAGTGTTCCAGGACGTGGTGAGTTTTCGCCTAGCAAGGTTTTTCCCTATAAAAGCCACAAACGTCTGTTTAACTATACTACGACGTGGCGGGTGTGACTCGCCACCGAAATAAAGTCACGGCCCACTGTTGCATATGAAGAATAAGCTCAATACCCCATGTTTGCAAGCACGTGTTTAGCAAACACCCCATCGGACTTTTACGCTTACGAAAAATCGAAGAACAATCTTCGGAAACATTCGAACGAGCACCCAGCACTTCCGTAACAGAAGCACTTAGTGGTATTACAGAGCTACGGAGCCACAGTTCTTTTTGACACCCTTGAGCAATCCCTTCATCCCTGCATCATTCCTATGCACTATTAGGTGCAATTTTCAAGCCATGTAGTTTGACAACACGTATTTCTGTCATGTGGCGTACACATGATTTTGGTGTGTCTTTGCTCTAACAACCACCTGATCACGCCTGTACTGGCATGTCCCGTTTCGTCGAGAAAATAATTATTTATTTATTTAGTAATGTACAAGGTACGATAAGCATCTATTGTGGAGTGGTTTGTTTCATAGACAGACTGGTACGCGTCTTCTGCCTGGGGGCGATTAAAGACCTGGGGTACAAGTAGATTATCATTTTTAACATCACCGACGTACATGCAATCGAATGATGGTTTTGTGATACCTTCTTGGGCACGGTCGTTATCCTTACAGGTCTCCAACGGTTAGGGATTGTGCCACACTTTAGACGGCGGTTGAATAGAGTGGGTAAGTATACTTCGTGCTAATGCGCGCTACCAGTTAGAGCGCGAGGGGATAAAGCATCAGGTTCAGTAGCAAAATAAGATTCAGTTATTTGAATTCCCTGTACACGTCCAAGAAATCAAGGGTGACTATGAGACCAGTGTTGGGAAAGGAGAGAAGGCAACCAAAAACCTTTTGGAACGAACATAATTCGGCGTTGGGTCTGTACACCTCCACGTTATCAAGACTCTGCAGGGAACTTTTGTACACAGCTGCTTCCAATGCGTCCAAGGTGCACAACGATCGTGAATACCTAACACAGATTCAATGTACCAAATATTCAGTAGCATTAGCTCCGATATTATTACCAACGTTAGAAGTCTAGGTTGGACAAACACTTTGAATTTTTAAGGCAGTTATTTTGTCAGCCGTTATTTCAGTAATGCTGAAGAGAATCTGTCCTTGCGAATATAGTTAGTTTCAACGGGACAGCAGAGACCAAAGCAGAAGTTGATATAGTCGATAAGGTGTGAAAACTAATAGGATGGTTTTCCTCAGTGCAAATGATAAAGTCAATTGAAACCAGCATCGCGTGGCTTCACAGGCTTTTCTTTTGAGCAGTCTCAGTGTCCTAAAATTTTGAAGAATATTTGCTGTCAAAGACACGAATTTGGTTTCACCGTAAAGGATCGGGTAGATCTTTAGTATACAGTAGCCCGAGTTACCGAGAGGAGCACGCTATTAAGTAGAAAACAAACGAATTCCGTTTATGAATACAAAATCTATTTGGGCCTCCTTCCTTGTTTTGAAAGATACAGTATGTTTTAGATCAATTACCTTGTGAACATCATATCACAGTTGTTAAAATCAGCAGCAACGCTACAGACAGAACACTCAAGTTTATTCAGTAATACTGGTGAGAAATGAACAGCAAAACCCTTGAGCTCAGTCGATGGCTTGTCGGGAGCCATAAAGATGTTTCCGATGACGATGGAACGAAAGCTGCTAAGCAATTTCAGTTTATACTCGGTTAAAAGACAGCTAAGTTTTGATGTTGTGTATGTAGAGATAAAGGTAATCGATTTACACGATTGGTGTACATTTATGGCAAAGCCCCCCTCACGATTTTGTGGTTTTCCAGGGGGAATGGACCTCACGATGTTGTATCCAACGAGTTGAATAACCTCCGCGTCCACAACAGGATCTACCCAAGTTTTTTGTAGCATTAAAATATCCGCATTAGTTTATTCTTTACGCTGAATAGCAGCACTGGTTTCGGCAAGTTTGCTAGGTAGTGAGCGGACATGGCTAGCAAATTCAGCGGAATTTGCGCTTTTATATTTGCGCAGCAACTATCATGATCTTCTCTGTATCTTAACAAGTCTAGCCTATATAACGCCTGAGTAAGCAGCAAACGCGGAGTACCCAGGATTCGCACCTGGCCCCCCGACTGCCAATCCTGCACGCAACCGCCACGCTACTCTACAATCGAAAATGCCCCTTATAATTTGACTGAAAAACCGCCCGTGCGTAGGCAGTGGCATCGTCCATTAACCCATGACAGCGATACCATTGCAACCCTGTCTCTATCCCTTTTCGCCGGAGACGTATCCGACGACCAAACTTGCAGGCCCGCCGAGAGCTGAGATATGGTAGCTTAATTGTACTCCTTTTCGTATTTGCAGAAGCGTAGAAGTTTGGGCGTCAAAGTACCGAGGGAACTGGATTACTTACTAAAATTCGAAAAAATACACCTTAAGCAAATGGCCGTTTCGTCGCTGGAGGCTGTTTTAAATTTTCTGAGAAAGAACCAGAAATAGTAGGTAATATACATTCAGAATATTTAGGCCTATTTTATCCCGCTGCATACGTTTGAACAGATACAAATTATTAGGTACTTGTATAGTGCTTCAAAGTATGACCTTGGGTTTTCGTTTAACTATTTCACAGCCATCGCAACGCATTATTACTCTTTTGGAAGATGGCAACCAGGGTGGAGAGCTTCATGGTTTCTGTTACCGGACAAATTATCAGTGCTGAGGTACATGAATGGCTTTAGTTCATTGTAGTTTCCCGGTTATAATTATATATGGCTGAAGTACTGCTTCGTTACCGGTGTGGACTGGATGAACATAGCGGTGAGCTCGTTTTAAAAGTTACGCCACGCTAGGGCATACAAGAGGGAATGACGCAGACGTCACTAAAAGGACCAAGTGAAGGCCATGGCCACGTTTTTAATTTTCCAATCGATGTTAGTTGGAAGTCGACAAACCCATTCGGATGTACAAATTGTTTTGTAATTTTCTATGGCTTACATAAGGGCCACAGATAATCGTACACGCATATGGCGTTGATATTTTCGGGAAGGACGTGGTTCGTGGATATGGTGCTGTACATATTCCAATGGAACCCGGGAGGTATGTGCGCATTATTTTTTGTGGTATTCCATGAGAGATACATCACTGTATTCCTTTTGACTATGACTTATGGTTTGGTTCCTATTCTAACAAGTGCTTTTGTACGTTAACTTAAAGTTGGTATGTTATTACCGTGTATGTGTAGTAAGTAACGATAAGCTTTATATTCCGTCCTAATTTGAATTGAATTTTGTTGCTAACAGCTGACGCCTTGGGATTATTAAACACTAGAATTCCCACAGCAAGCATGTTGACCGTCCAGCGTTGTTATATATGCAAAGTTATTACGTTTGTACTTGTCTTCCAAAAATATCCGTACTTTATAACTGGAGTGTTTCACTTTGGTAGCTGTTGTAGTTTTGAGAAACAATATAGTTCGATTGGGTTCATCGCAGTTAAATTCCAAGCCGCCTAGGTAAGCTACTAATCTAAGCCCTACCATTATTCAAAATTGCTGTGTGGATTCACGGCTTGCTAGGGAAGACCTGTTCGTGGTTGCCAACCACTCTCGCTGCACGAGCAATAACCTGCACGGCGGTGGAGAATGGGTCGGGCTATATCGCATTTAGGTTTCAATTCGTAATGGTCGGCTGTCGTCCCCCATGGCTCAGTGGCATAAACTGCTGGCTAGTTGGCGTTGGCCTTTAGCGGTTATGGGTTTGATCCTCAGTAGGGAACTGCTAGACATGCACCACTGACGAGTCCAAATAGGGCGAAACGCACGCCTGTTGCTTTGCCGGATTAGTAGCTGACCTGTGCGCCTTGCAATCTAATTAGGATGAACCAAATCGAAGCATACCTAACTCCGTTTACTCATTAGTAATCAAAAAAGATTGTTGTTTTCTTGCCACCTAGAATCGTTGAACCATTTGAAGGTAGAGAGCAGAAAGAAACCTTCTTTCAGCTCCAGCACCTCCCATTCGTCACAGTGATCAAGGTGGACTTTGTAATCCGGTATCAGTGGTACCGGTGCATTGGCACAAGTTGCAACAAGTTCCAAGTTTACTCAGTAGATAGGAGTGCATCTAAAACATTCATCTGATTGCGCATCAACAACGTACACAAGTAGGTTCTTCCACTTATTCACTACTCTGGTAGACTGAGTAAGGTTGCAACTGACCCGAAGTCTCCTTTGTTTAAACAACTTCCTATGGTGATCCCGAGTTGAACTGAAGGAATTGAGTGGAACGAACTCCTGCAGTTCAGCTCTATGTTCACTTCTAACGATACGTCTAGTGAAAATCAAATCCATGCGATCTAGACTATAAGCTAGGGAGAACAAGTTCAGGTATTGAAAACGAAATGAGTAAGGCAGGTTTCATAACTCCAGAGTGGATTTAGTTTCTCTCTCCTGAACTTTTTCAATCAGGTTGCAATAAAATTTGGAAAGTGGATAGACAGCGGGAAGTCCGTACTCAAAAATGGCAGGTACATGAGCAGTGCACATGAGCCTGAACATCTCCGATGTCAAGTGGGAGGATTTTCGTGTGGCTAAAACCATCCAGTTGGCTAAAGCGACTTTCCTCAAGGTATCCTCTATCGATTTTAGGTCAGGGATTACAACGATGCCAATGTCCCTCTTACGATTAGAGTTTGGCAGCAAAATGCCACCGATATGATAAATTCTAATTGGTTCAGAGGCACTAATCGGAAGAACGGAGCACTTATCGTGATGTATGCGTAACTGGCACCTGATAGACCAATCATGCAGCAAATCGAGCCTTGTTTGTAATCAGCCAGGTTCATCCACACAGGAAACTTACGTCCACAGCTGTAAATTGTCTACGTAAATTGATCTGCCTGTATCACAGACGTCGCCATAAATAACGACTTTAAATAGTTCAGGGTCAAGAACAGTGTCTCGCGGATAACCGCTGGTCATTTTTACGGAGAAAAAAGGAGGCTTCTATACTTTCACACGGAAAGCGTGGTCATGCAGAAAATCAGTGAGTCAAGTGAGGATTTTTCCTGAAACACCCATACTGCGAAGTTTGCTATGCAAAATTCATGTAGAACTTTGTCAAAGGCTTTACTGCAACATACAAGATCGACATCCAGCCGCTTACCAGCATTCATTAATTTAGCCCACTTTTCTCGTGGTGCCAGCTGGGTGGTTTGGGATTTTCCCGTTCCGGCAAATGGTTCGGCGGCAGTGTTCCAGGACGTGGTGGGTTTTCGCCTGGCAAGCGTTCTCCCTATAAAAAGCCACATATGTCCGTTTATCAACATTGTGACGTGGCGGACGTGACTCGCCACTAAATAAAGTCACTGCCCCTTGCTTCATCCTGGCGAAGCATTGTATTCCAGCAACCTTATGCTGTACTTCTGGTGAGCATTGGGCCCCTGTTTGACAAAGGAACAAACGAAAGGCGTATGAACTGAGCAATCAGTCACCGGCTCCCAATGGGCGCGATTCCCTGAATTCGCTCCGCTGCCTTGCGTGCAGGCTATTCAGCCAAAGGCTCGGGGTGGTGTCCCCTAAGTCAACACCCTACTTCGGCTTTGGCAACCGGGTAGTATTTCGCCCTCTGAGGAAGCCATGGACATTGTTGTGTTGTGTTTTATTTTACTGTTTCTGTACCTTTGTTTGGAACCCATGGTTTCTGATAGCATTATGTCTGTTAGCAGACTTTTGCAAATATATATATATATACCCACTTTTCTCAAGCCACCAGCAGATTGGTGACACATGGACGCAAACGACGGTACGCATGCTGTGCAGCTGAGGTGATCTTGAGGTTCGGAAAATGCAGCTTTAGAGCTCGTTTATGAAACCTCTCCATAACATTGCAGACAAAAGATGTTAGACAGATGGGCCGATAATTTGTAGGATCTTGTCGATTTCCTCTTTTGTATATAGGCTTGACCATGCTTGCCTCCAAGGCAAGCGGAAGACTTCCAAGCTTAGTAGAGCGCCGAAATACGTGACAGATAGGTACAGAAATATATACGGCCACAATATTAAGAAACATAGGATACAATCCATCAGGTCCCGAAGAAGAGTTTGGATCCAGGTCGCATACAAGTTAAGATAATAGGCTGGCACTGATGTCCAAGTCATTGAGAACAGAGAGCAAAATCGAACAATAATCAACTGACGGGACTTCTGTTAAATAGGCCGATGAATAATAATGAGCTAAAAGATAGGCTTTATCAGTATCGTTGTGGAGTACAGTGTTAAGAGTGTGGGAGTACAAGAGCGGTATACCACTTTCGACTCTGATACTCCTTTTATGGGATGAGGAAAGCAGCTTTCGGTGTGAGCTTGATCAGTTCGACCGGATGACATTCGTATTCCTGTCGTTTTGCACGTTTCTCGGTGTAAATACGCTCTAAACCATTTTACTATTTGCATAATCAGTTTCCCATCTTGAAAGCCTATAGCGATTCCAAAGTTTGTGTCTTTGGTTCCTGAGCGATCGTAATCCTCTGTCAATCCAGCGGCAATTGAGTGAAGGCTTTTTGTTTATATATGAAAACAACTTCACTAATAACTGACCATCTTTTTGAGTAGACAAGGCTCCAAGCATTATCAACGTCTAAATGTTGGGAGGACTCCAATGCTGCTTGATAGCGTCCAGCTTCAGGCGGTTTGGACAAGCAAGGCTGAAAGTCCGACGATAGCCACAGTGATCGTGCATGCTAAACCGTGTGGTTCAGTGAAAGGAACGTAGGCAGTGATCACTCCTCCCGATTTCTGACAAAACGTTTAAAGCGAAAGCGATTGTGCAGACGAAAGCACAAGATCGAGTATATGCGGTTTCTAACTAGGGATAATGAGAGTAAGTGCAGCGACATGTTGAATTAAATTGCTTTCAGGAACAGCTTCTAGAAACGAATAAAAAAGGAGTTAGGTGCAGCATCACTGGGAAGAAGACCCCAATAAATATTAGGGGCACTAAAGTCCTGCACTTTTAAACAATCCTTACTTCCACCCTACATTTTAGACCCCACTAAACAACCACCAGAACCCAAAGGAGCTCTGCAAAAGACACCGAAAGGGAACGAGCTACATGCATTGTGCATACGACACCAAAACACTTTTGAACGTTCATCACTTCCCAAGATAACATCAACTACATGTACCTTCATATTCTCCTTCCCGAAAAGTATACCGTCACTATCCGACCTCAAAACAAAGCCATCACCTCATGAGAGACTGTAACCAGGCATATGTACCAAGCCAACCCCTACTTCGGCCTAAGCAACCTGGTAGTATCTCGCTTACTAATGAACCATGGAACTGAATTGCACTCTGTTTTACCGATGCTTGGCTCTCACGCTAATACTGCAAACACCTATTCAGCACACGCCACTCGCTTGCCTACTCTCTTCCCTTATCATCCTTCCCAGTTTTTGTCTGATCAATCAACTATGAACAGCATTGCTTCTTACGATATCACTGTTGCCGTGCCATCCTCCGACGTAATCACACAGCGCGAAACCAGGATTGAACAGTCCCGGATTCTCCCCTCACTGCTTTTGCAAACGAATTCACAGTTCAGCTCGGCGGCGTTCAATGTGTGCAACTTAAAATAGTTTGGGCAACAAGCCGGTCTCGCGCGCACTCTAGAAACTTGCAATTGATGTTTGTTGTTTGTCTGAAACATGACTTAAGAATTCCAGCACAATCTACCCATTTTCTTCACCAATTTTCCCTTATACCCGTTTTCACCTTCGATTTTACGGAGACAGCGTGGCCACCGCTTCTGTGCAAGCTGGTGTTAGGGTTACACTTAGTGCCAAAGCCGAAGCCGCCCTAATAGAATAGATTACGATCAACCGTCACCTTTGTCCTGTTAGGTTACATGGCTCGTGCATAGTTAACGGACGTCGAGAAGACAAACATGCTCTTTCTGTAATCCTTGTCCATACTCCCACTGACTGTAGCTCGGATTTCATCAAAGATCAATTCAACCAGAACCGTAATGATCTGCACTTAAGGACCCCAAAATGGACATCCATTTTATGGCGGCGAGTGCAACTCGCGCGTTGGTCGT